GGGGGGGGGGGGGGGCCCCCCAGCTCCTCCTTTCCCAGCCCCTCTCAGCAGGGGGCGCTGTGGGAGGGGGGGAGCTCCCAGCTACTCTGTTCCCAGCCTCTCTCAGCAGGGGGCACTGTAAGGAGAAAGGGGGGAACGCTCAACTACTCCAGTCCCAGCAGGGGGCGCTGTAGAGAGGGGAGCGCTCCCAGCTACTCCAGTCCTGGCCATTCCCATCCAGATCCCCTAGCCTAGGTAAATGGCCGCTGTATGGGCTGGAGCCCCAGCCCCAGTGGTTGGGGGTTACCAGGAGGCAGCTTGTTCTGTAGCTGCCCCTCTCCTATGACTAGAGAAAGGGCACCAGTTGACGAACAGTCGCAACCCCATGTTGGAGGCTCATCCCACTGAGCTCATCTGAAGCATCTTCCTTCCCGCAGAGGCTTGGAGAGAGAACCAGTGCGAGCTGTGTCCCAGAGAGAAGGTACGGACAAGTTCTTGCAGGGGATTGCACCAGCTCCTGCTGGGATACTGGTGCCTTGGGACCCAGAGACTGGACGCAGCAATGTCTAGTGGGGTCCGAAAGGGCATAAATCTCAGTGATCGGTAGTGGTGTCAGTAACTGCTCCTTGAAGACACCTTTTTTTTTTTTTTTTCACTCCTCTTCCGCCCGTAGACTTAACTCCACTTACTCCTATTGTAGCTGTTCATTCTTCCCCATCCCTGTTCCAGGATCTAGACTAGAGCTTATCCCCGGCTCTGAGAAAGGAGTGGGGTCGAGTGGGGGCAGGGCTAGAAGTTCGTATTTCTAGCAAGACAGTTTGGAGCCAGGGTGACGTGGCTCAACCAGGCCCACCGGTGGGGTAGGGATTAAAGAGGCAATTGTACAGGGGCCCAGCATTTCAAAAGACACCCCTTGCTACATGGCAGACAGAGACTGGGGCCCCTTTGAACAGTCACGGGAATGCCACTCTGTGTGGCTTTGATTGCCGTAGGCCCCGCCCCTTCTGTCCTTGGCCCCGCCCCTTCCAGGGATGCAAAGCTGGGTCCCTCTCCTACCTTGGCCGGTGGTGGCTCAACTCCTTTCCCTTCATGGCACTTGAGCACCTTACCCTGTTGAAGGACGATAACCATGATTTTCAGAATCCCTGGTGGCGGGATGGGAACTCTTGTGTTTTCCACTGAAAACTGATTTCGGCGCCGTGTAGCGCTGAGGCTTCATTAAGCCAACTTGGTATTTCCAGCATGGCAAAGGAGGGTTTTTCCTGCAGCCTTAGGACCCAGGTACACCCAGATTGCCCTTGCTGTTCACACGCTGCCCCAAATCCTGCCACCCTCCCTAAGGGAACCATCCATCCCGCTACACTTGGGCACAGAATGGAAGCTGTTATCATACGCTGGGAACCTGGACCTAGAACCCACCAGCCTCCACAAAACTAGACTCTGCCACGTGAGCTAAAGGCGACTCCCCTGGGCTGGCAGCTGCAGGAGTAGGTTATTTACCCTGCCTGCATCCAGGAGGAAGAGCTGTCTCTCCCTTGTACAGAGCCAAGTGCCTGCGAAGGGGTAGGAGTACCGGGGGGTGGGGGACAGTATTTCCCTGCTAGAATTTAACAAGGACTGTTCAGAACTCTGGCCTGCTCTTCCCAGCACCTGGACTCTGGTCTCAAGCATCTGTGTCCCCCACAGAGCCACTGCTGCGGCTGGAGAAAAAACGCTGAGCCTGCCCCTTCACTGACCTCCGGGCCCCAGCAGGGAGTGGGAACAGTTTGTACAGTGGGGTTGTTGGGAGCCACTGAACCAAACTGTCATTGCTGCATATAATGGAAAGCATTTCAAGCCAGGGTGCTTAGATTCCCTCTTTTCTGCCGCTCTCCTGTGGGTCTCCCCATGGGAGCCATGTTAACCCCAAGTCCTGTGATCTAGGATCTGCTGGAAGAACTAAACCCAGAGATCATTCAGGGCCCAGAGGGGAGCCTGGAGACGTACAGGTAAGAGCTGGGGTCGGGAATTTGGTGTCACCCCATGTCTGGCAGCACGGGCCAGTTCCTGTTGCACCGTGTGCGAGGGATGTAAAGGACTAGTCGACGATCCAATAAGCAAATGCTTACCAGACAGTCGACAGGATAGTCCACTAGTCGCTCCTCCCGCCCTTGCTGTCTCCATCAGATAGAGGCAGGAGGGCGGGGTGGGGGAAAGAGAATGATACTTAAGTGGCAGCGCCACATGGAACGCGAGGTCAGCTGCTCAACGTGGTGCTGCTACTTTGAAATGCCGTGTGGAGCCTGAGATCAGCTGGGGACTCCCCAGCTGAACGTGGGCTCCGTGCAGCGTTTCAAAGCGGCAGTGCCACTTGGAGATCAGGATCAGCTGGGACTCCCCAGCTGACCCCAGGCTCCATGTGGGTGCTTCCGCTTTGAAATGCCAGCGGGCGCTCTTGTACATTTCAAATGCGGAAGTGCTTGTCGATTAGTCAGTGGAAATTCCAGCGACTACTCGACTAGTACATTCATCGCTACTTAACAGCCCTGCTGTGTGCGGCACCCCACCCGATGGCTCATTCGGACTTCATGGCTGGACGGCTGCCGCGGGGGAGCGCCGACAGCAAGGCACTGTACAGTGTGTAACCTACACAGCTGCTCCATGGCCCGGTTATTGTGGAGAGCCTGTTAGGAGGTTTTGTGCCTACAAGCCATAGAGGGACCCGTAGATGCTGTTAAAACAAGGACGGGAGCATCTGGGGGTCCGGGACAGAGCTGCCGAGTAGGGGCTGGAAGTCAGGACTCCTGGGTTCGCTTGGCCGGTTCTTTCTCTGGCTCATGGGGCGATTGAGGCAAGTCCTCACTGTGCCTCTGTGCCTTAGTCTTCCGGTCTGTAAAATGGGGGGATGGGGAGAGTTGTGGCTTCAGTCCTAACTGCCAAGGCATTTGGGATCCTGAAACGGCAATTCCTTGACAAAGGATAAAGTTTAAGAGTTGGGGGTTTATAAATAGAACAAAGAATTGGTGTAACCCCCGGGCTAGGCCAAGCAGGAGGGGCAGCACCCGAGTTAAACCAGGAGACGGGCTGGTTCCAGCTAACATTGACTCTTTACTCCCCTTTCTCTTTTGCCCTGTGACATGCAGAGTTCACATCCCCCGGGCAGGCGCCTACCGCTGCCCTAAAACCAAGCTCAGATTCGAGGTGAGGGCAGCCGTGACCATCTGCTATGAATACAGCTCCTGGGATCAGTATCTGCCTGCCCAGGCGGCTCAGCAGAGGATGGTGGCCGGCCCCTTGTTCAACATCCAGGTGGACCAGGATGGGGCCGTGGCGGCCGTTCACCTCCCGCACTTCCTGTGCCTCGCAGGTATGGCCGGCAGGTGGCACTCGACCCGCTGAGCGGGCTGGGGGGCGCGGCTCCTGGGGAAACCTCAGGCACTTTGTGCCTAGACATCTCCGATCTGCAGCGCCGGGATGGGACCCGACACCCACGGGGACACTACCCAAAAAAGAACCTTTCCCTCCTCCTTCCCGATCTCGGCAAGGGGGCCTGCCCAGGGGACAGGACTGGAGGATCCTGTAGGGATGTCAAATCCCATGTAATTAGTTAACTGGTTAAACGTGCTAAGTGTAACCGGATAAATGGGGCGGGTGGGGGAGCTCCAACCCAGCTGGAGCGCCCCTGCCTGTGGTGCACTGGGGCCGGGCATGTCTGGCCAGGAGGTGCTCCAGCCGGGATGGAGCGGCCCCACGGAACTGGAGCAGCGCCCCCTGGTTAAGGGTGAGGCTTGCCAGTTAACCATCCACATCCTGACTGGGGAGGAGCCTGGCGCTGTCCCTGGCCTTGCCTGTGGTGGCCCACGTGTGCCTGGGAAGGGGGATGCGGTGGCAAATTTGCCCCACAAAGTCACGCAGCCCAAGCAGGCACAGATAGGGTTGCCAGGAGTCCGGTATTCACCCGGACAGTCCGGTATTTTTGCCTCCTGTCTGGTAAAAAAAAAAAAAAATTCAGAGCAGGAGGTGAAAATGCCGGGTACCTGGAAACCCTACAAACACTCGGCGCCCGGCCTCCCCGCCACCTCCCTGAGTTCCCTCCAGCCCTCAACACCCGCAGCCCCCATGCTTACCTGGTTCCCCAAGGCTGCTAGCACAAAATGGCTGCTGGCCAAAAGACCTAGGGGAAGCAATGCTTTCCATGGGTCTTAGTGCTCAACTGTTCTCTTGTTCCTATCCCTACACTCTTTTTTTTTTTTTTTTTTGTTTTTTCTTCCCCCCCCCCCCCCCCCTTTTTTTCCTCCAGAATTTTTTCGGGGGTGGGGGTTGGTATTTTTGTTTTAATCATCTTACAACCCTAGGCACAAAGGTGGGGGAGGGATAGCTCAGTGGTTTGAGCATTGGCCTGCTAAACCCAGGGTTGTGAGTTCAATCCTTGAAGAGGCCATTTAGGGCAAAAATTTGTCAGGGATGGTACTTGGTTCCCTTGTGAAGATGGGGAACTGGACTCAATAACCTTTCAAGGTCCCTTCCCATTCTAGGAGATAGGCAATCTCCATTAGTTTTTTAATTTTAAAGGCATTGAGCTGAGTGCACAGCCCAGGCTTGCTCTCTGCTAGCCCCCATGTCCTTGTCTGGGACCCAGGAGTGCTAACTCCCTGCTGCTACATCCCACCCGCCCCCATGCTCCTCCCAGGCCCAGGAGTCCCCAGTGCCTGTCCTTAGCTATGAGCATGAGACATGTCCGCCTCCGGGGCAGAAAGGGGGCCTGAGACAGCAGGCTGGGAACTCCTTGTGACTGTCCCCTATGGGCAGGGGGCGAGATCTCCCTCTTTCAGATGGAGGTCGCCCATTTTGTTGGCGGGGAGATGCTCCTGGAGAAGCCGGCGCGGGTGAGGCACTTCCATGCTGTGCTGGAGAACCCCCACTTCTCCCCCCTGGGCGTGCTTTGGAGACTGATCCGGTCGAAGCGACGCGTTTGTATCCACTCGCTGGTGCTGCTGTACCGGGCCCGCAGGGCTGCAGACATCACCCTCCACCTCTACCTCCTCCCCGACGACCGCTCCGTGGTACAGGTGACTGAGAATCCACCCACAGCCACAACGGGGGCGGGGGAATTGGAGCCACAGGCTGCCACGGGGAAGGGAGGGGCATGTCCTAGCAGGGAAAGCAGGTCTTGAGCCACAAGTGACCAGCTGTGCAGAATGACACATGACACATTCACACTGTAGCCAGGTGGGCTGATTGGGGCAGGTGGGGATGTAGCTAAGCGCTTGCCTGGACTAACTTTAAAACTCCACCTGTCTCAAGAGCTCAGTGTCTGCCCAAAGGCTGTGCTGACCCCATGTCCCCGCACATCTCTTCTGTTTACTGCAAACCAGCCCTCCTCCCCCCCACAACCAGGCTGGCGCAAGAAAGGAAAACTGGCCTTGGCTTTGTGTGTTTTTCTGTCCATCTCTCCTAGAAGTGACTGTGTTTGAATTTTCACAGGCGGTAGAAGAGTATGAGAAGAAATGCCAGTCGTTTCAGGTGCCCAAGCCGCCTCTGACCAAGCCACTACATTACGGGACATATTACCGCACCACATCTAACTCACCCAACCTAGAGATAAAACCTAAGGTAACTGAGATTTGGAGGTTTGCAGCCATTATCTATCCACCATATCTACAGCTGTCAGTCCAGTATGTCTAACAGCCTACGGTGTGGAACTGTAGTTATGCTGTGTTCACCGTGCCATTCATTGCAGTCGGAAGACAGTTTTTGATAAACACAAATATTGCTCATTTACACAACTGGAGGATTAACTTCATTGTTGAACTCCAATTGTTATCCCTTTGCATTTACATCGGAATTCCTCCGAAATTACTCTGAGACACATGGACTTCCTGAAAAAAATCCCACCGCTGGAAGGCAAGCGTGTATCTGCCAAAACTTGAGATCTAGTCTTTAAAAAGAAAAATAAGCATTTAAAGTGGTGTTACGCACTGCATTTCGATGGGGCTGCAGTCACATTGACCAGCTGTTTCAAGCTTTTCCCCCTCCCCTGTTGTTGTGTAAAATACCCTGAGAAACAGGAAGAAACTGACCGTGATCTCAGGGCAGAGTCACCCCTTCCCATCATCAAAATCATGAGGCGTTCACTCAGAATAACTGGAAGGGGACTGAAGAGCCTCACAAAATGACTCCACAACTAGCAGATAGGAAGTAGCTGACGCCTGCCCAGTTTGGCAGCTGTGGAAAACCCACAGGTGGTTTGCCTGCCCCAGGAGTGAAGACGCCTTTGGCAGCTGTCATTATTTTATTGTTCCATTTGAGGGGTGGTGCTTGCGTTAGTGGGAAATGCGCTCCCTGGCGGTGAGTGGCTTTTCCCGCTGTTTCCTAAGGAAAGCGTCATTCAGCCGCCTTTCTTCCTGTTGCGGATCCCGGCCAGGCCCCATGGGCTTTGGGTGGTTTTGCTGTCAGCATCAGTCACACCTGATAGTCAACCTGTGGAACTCCTTGCCAGAGGATGTGGTGAAGGCGAAGACTTTAACAGGGTTCAAAAAAGAGCTAGATAGATTCATGGAGGTTCAGTCCATCAATGACTATTAGCCAGGATGGGTAGAGATGGTGTCCCTCGCCTCTGTTTGTCTGCAAATGGGTGATAGAGTAGGGATCACATGAGAATTACCCGTTGTGTTCTCTCCCTCTGGGGCAACTGGTATTGACCGGGATACTGGGCTAGATGGACTGTTGGTCTGCCCCAGTATGGCCGTTCTTACATTCTTAATTACTTGTGCTCATCCTTGGAGTTCGTTTCTTAGCACAGTTACATTTCCTGGCGGGTCTAGTTTCATAGCATTGTTGACGCTTTCTGACCTGAGCAGCCAGGGCTGAGCGTGAGGCCCTGGGGTTGTGCCGCTGGAAGCTGGTACCCGGGGCAGCCAGGTATTTCTCTGAGGCAGTTCCGCATATTTGCAAAGAGCAAACAGTCTCCTGCTGCTCTGACAGTCTGTGAAGCGAGAAGGGCCGTCCTTCGGATTTATGGGGCCCGACGCAGTCTCTTAAACCGGTGCCCCTGTGCCTGATGGCAGCTGGGGGAGATGGTTTTTTAGCGCTGTGGTTTTATAATCTATTCAACAACACACGCATGAAATATTTTTAAAACAAATTTTCTAACTCAGGTTCCACTCGCTGGATGCACACGGTAAATTCAGAAACTGACTGTCGATGCACACGGTAAATTCAGAAACTGACAGTACGTCCCTGGGGCTGGCAAATGCCTGTTAAGTAGCTGCATTGCTACTTGAATGGCTCTTTCCCCAGTGCAGGGTGCTGCTAATAGCTTGGGCAGGCTTTTATAGTTTTAAGTCAACTAGCTCCTCTCCGGAGGAACAGAGCCACAGGACAGGGAAGGGAAGAGGCAAATGGGTGGGCATTAAGACGCAGCAGTGCCCCAAATTTTCAGGTGCCCTACGCCGATGTGTATTCTGTGCATGGGCGAGGATGACGCTGATAAGGAACCAAAAAACCTCCCCAGGCCTCTCTAGACTTAAGGGTCTCTCTTAAGCTCAGTGTTTCGCAAATGGGCCCCAGATGGGTCGCAATCCCATTTTCATGGGGTCGCCACTGTTGACTGAGACTAGCTAAGGCCCAGGGCCAAAGCCGGAGCCTTCCCGTCTGGGGCTGATGTCTGAGGGCTTCAGTCCTGGGTAGCAGGGCTCAGGTTCCAGGCCCCCTGCCTCAGGTTGAACTCCGTGGGCTTCCTCTTTGACCTCCCCCCATCCAGAGCAGGGGCTCAGGTTAGACTTTGCCTCCCCCTCCTGACCCAGGGTAGCAGGACTCAAACTGCCTCAGGCTTCAGTCTCCCTCCCCCGCCCACTCCTCCAGGGTCATGAAGTAATTTGTGTTGTCAGAAGGGAACTGAAGTGCAATTAAGTTTGAGAAGCTTTTCCACAACTCCCCCCCCCCCCCCCACGGTCCATGAACTGAGATAATTCCCGGTGTGGCCAGTAGAAGGGCGTGAGGTACTTGCTAAGTTGTGATAGAAATGTAGCCGTGTTAGTCTGGGGTAGTTGAATCAAAATGCAGGACAATGTAGCACTTTAAAGACTAACAAGATGGTTTATTAGATGATGAGCTTTTGTGGGCCAGACCCACTTGGGTCTGGCCCACGAAAGCTCATCATCTAATAAACCATCTTGTTAGTCTTTAAAGTGCTACATTGTCCTGCATTTTGATTCAACTACCCCAGACTAACACGGCTACATTTCTATCACAACTTAGCAAGTACCTCACGCCCTTCTACTGGCCACACCGGGAATTATCTCAGTTCATGGACCGTGCTGCCTTCTAGCCTGTCTCTCACTCAATATCATTCTGCTTCACTCTCTCCCCCATCTCTCTCACCGAAGAGGGTAGCTGCGGCAGTGTGTGAGGGTGGGTTTGTCCGCCGACCCTGCGTGCCCCTCAGAGTTGGCAAGTACATACTCAGGGGGCTGTCCCCTCCCCGCCATTTGCCTTGCTGTGGTTTCCTTCTGGTTTTACCCACTCGCAGGAGCCAATAGTCCCTTCATGGTGGATGAAGCCATCCTTGTCCCTCCAATTTTTCACAGGGCCCCCTGGGGATGAAAAGTGGGTGGCACGGTCACCGTGCGCTGCAGTGGTTAGTGATTCACGAACACCCGCTTCACGGGAAATTCCCGTTGCTTTGTTCACGTGTGCCCGGCTGGCTCGGGGACCCTGGTGAACTCACCGGAGGTGAAAATTGTCTTCCCCACAGGATCTGGAGTTCCAGCGCAGAGGCCCAGAGAAGCATCAGTCGTACACTGAAGTGTACATCCAAAGATTGGAGGAGTGCGTGGAGCTCAGCTTGAGAGAGAGAGACCAGGAGGAATCTGTCTGGGACGTCACGCTGAGGCCAGGTAGGGGCCGGGGAGAGGAGTCGTCCTTTGCACACAGGAGGCCTCTCCCAGGGGTTTAAAGTGCGCCCCACGACACAGCACACGGATCAGCGCTGTGTCAGATTTTGGGAGGGGAGGGGCAACTGTGCCCATGAATCCTGCGGCTATTGTCTACTGCATCAGTAGGCCACAGTCACCTAAAAACTAACCCCAAAGTAGCCCAGTCTAATTATTTAAACAATGTTTTAATTAAGGCAACAGTCTATACCTTTAAACTGAAGCATTCTCTGGGGCAGGGGTGGGCAATCATTTTTTGCTGGAGGCCACTTCAGAAATTTTCAAAGTGGCCCCGGGCCACACCAGAAGGGGCAGAGACAGGGTACTTCCAGGCTTCCCCACCCCCAGACCAGGTTTGGTCTGGGGGTGGGGGGACACCTCTGCCCCCCCACCCCAGGGTTCTCCTAGGTGCCCATGCCCCTGGCAGTGGGAGGAGACTTTGTGCGCTCCCTGCCCCCAAGCCAATCAGAGCTTTGCCAGGAGTGCGCACAGTCTCCTGGCTGGGCAGAGGAAACTTTGTGCGCTTCTCCCAGGCCCTAATTGGCCTCGGGGAGGGGGAGTAGCAGGGCCTCCGCAGGGCAGACCAACCCGCTTGGCCCGCGGAGGCCCTATTGCCCACCCCTGCTCTAGAGTATAATTCAACGATGGATGTTAGCAGCATAGATCTATAACCAGGGGAACCAACAGCCTCCCTGGGCAAGGTGTGAGAGAGCCTGGCTCCCGCTCCCAGAAAGGGTGGGGCCCCAGGTGGAGGAGGTGGGGCCCCAGGTGGAGGAGGTGGGGCCTCAGGTGGAGGAGGTGGGGCCCCAGGTGGAGGGCGCGGAAAGGGGCGGGGCAACCAGCCCTGAGTGCCACCCGGAACACAACACACCAGCCCCCAGGCAGTCCACGGTGCCGCCTGGAGTGTGGCACAACCCCGCAACCCTCAGTGCTACCCGGTGTGCAGTTCATTGCTCCAGCAGTGATTTAAAAGGCCCAGGGGGCTCCGTCTGCTGCTGTCTCTCTTGAATCGCTTGGCCTGGGGCAATTGCCTTTGTGTTCTGCCCGGCCGGCAGGCCTACCCACAACAGCCACATCATCCAAAGTGTTCGGATTGGCTCGGGGTTATGTTCCCTGAAGGGTTTGTACATGTAGTTGTGATACATACAAAGGATTCTGCTGGAAGGAGGTTTCTGGCGTGTGGCTGTAAGGATCTGAGAGAGCAAACGTCACTGCCGTGAAATGCACTGATCGGACTCAAGCTTGCAAGATTCTGCCATCCTTGGAAATGTTAAACAGAAAGTACAGCGGGAGATAAGAATATTTACCAGCTGGAAGAGGAGATAGAGTAGAAAGCCGCAAGCTGGCAGCTTGAGGGTAGGAGTTATAGGGTAGCAGCTCCTTCGAAGGTATCTGGGAAAAGGTCCTAGAATCCCCTCTCTGGGGACATTTGGTAAAATCCAGGCCTGCACAGAGGAATCGGTGTTTCTGTGTGTCAGTCTATGGACCTGCCCCAAAACCCATCAACAACACAGGAAAGAGGCCCTCAGACAAGTGGGACTAGAGGGTAGAAAAATGGCCACGCTGGGGTCTTGCCATTCACTGCACCGTTAGAAAGTTGGAAAGAGATGGCAAGTTTTAATTGTAATTTAAGCAATATGTGTGGGGCTGGAAGGTCATGCTTGCTCCTTCACAGCAGGAAAAGATGACAGGTTTTTTATTCTGCTGCACCTCTTCTTGCAGCCAGGCGGTGCTTTACTTTCCCCATTTATCTAAATGTAGATGCTGAAAAAGAATCAGTTCTACAACGTATAAATCCTTTCACTTTCGATGTCCGAACACTCCGATGTTTGGGTTTCAAACACTGCCCAGGAATCTTGGTCGAAGAACTATTTCCAGGCAGATGCACAGCCTTTTCCAAAGTTTTGGGAACCCTTTTTGTAGCCTATGATTATGAACTTGGCTTTCCTTTTTAAAAAAGCTATAGGTGCTGGAAGTAGGGAAGCTGGGAGTGTAGCATCCCCAGGCTTGAAGTGAGGGCATGGGCTCTAGAAAGTATTCCTGGGCATGATACTTTTGGAGATCTTTCTAATTCAGCATGACAGACATTTTCAGATGATGTGTTGTCATGTGATCTTTCAGCACACACAAATGAGCTGATGCTAAATTACAGGGGTTAAGATGAACACTTAAAATAGGGATGTCTGAATTTAACTGTTTAATTGATTATCTTATCTGTTTCCGTTGCGTTAAACTCTTCTGCCCCGCAGGCGCGTGTGGGCTCCTGACCTCCTGGGGAGCCGGTGTGCTGTGAGCTCTGCAGGATAAGCCTCATACTGCAGATTATGTGGTGTGGGGCGGGAGCCAGCTCCCTGGGAGCCGGTTTATGCACACTGGCTCCCTGCACTGGGGGCTCTGCAAATAGAAGGCTGCAGGGGGGCACCCCTCCAGCATTCTTCCCTCCCTAGTCCCACCTGGCCAAAAACGGTTAACCATATAACCACTAGGATTTTTAGTACTTACACAGTTATTTTTTTAAACCTTTTTTTAATATCTCTAATATAAAAGTTTGGTAAGTAGTATCAGAAACAAAAGTATGTGCATTAATTAACAAATGAAGGGGGAATGAAATTAATGACAGCTCAAAATTAACTGAGGTACCAAACTTAAAAAAAGTCTTTAAAAAAGTCACTCTATAGAGTGTAATGAAATGCGAGATGTTAGCAGCATGGATCTTGAATACGTTTTGGGTTACTAATTGTTCAGATTGGTTTGAGTCCATGAGCATGGAAGGGTTTCTAGAAATAGTTGTAATAAATAGAATTAAGTTGGAAGGATTTGACAGAGTAAACATTACTTCAGTGACATTCATGGATGATAATTTTGTGAGACTTTGCCACCCCCAGAATATTTGAGTCGGTAAATAAGAGCTAAGATTACTTACCAATTGGAAGTGGAGATACAGTTAGTATAATGCAGACAGGCGGAACTTGAACCTACGGCCTTGAGAGCTCAGTGCATGAACCTCTACCGCTTGAGCGAAAAGCCAGCTGGTGCTCAGATAAGGCTGTAGAGTAAACTAAGTCTCTCTCCCTGTAGTGGTCTAAGTCAGTGTTTCTCAACCTTTTGTTTATAAAGTACCCCTTTAAAAAAATTGTAAGTACCCCCGGTACCTACAGTTTTCAGACCCACTCAATTTTTTTCTACCATTGCAACACATTTGTTTAAACAATTTAATCATAGCCGGGCAGGCGATGAAATTTTTGGGTGTAAAAATTTCAAAAATAATCAAGCACTGTCAAACTTAGAACAAAAATTCAGTTTTCTCTAAATTTCAGTTGTGTTGAATTTCTTCTCTCGAGTACCCCTACGGGTACTTGTACCACTGGTTGAGAAACATTTTGCTCTAAGTGCCACTCCCTGGGACAGTGAACCACACCTAGTAGGTACATGGTTAAAATGGTTCCTTGTCTCTGTATCTGCGCAGATAACGGAGCAGCAGCTTCTCAAAAGGTATTTGGGGGGGGATGGGGGTCTTGAAACGTGCAGCCTTAGGGAGATTTGGCAAGATCAAGGCATGCACATAGGAATCAGTTTATCTGGCGCTACCTGGTAACCTGAGTCACACCCCATTGCAGGCAAAGGAAAGACTCGCAGACAAAGGGATGACATTGCAGAATAAATGGACTCACTGGGGTATTGCTACCCCCTGGAAAAAAACGGGAGCGTTTTGAGTGAGATTTAAGCAATATTTGTGGCGTGAGGGCGCGTGTTGGTTTCTTGGCAGCAGGGGAGGGTCTCAGGTGGTGGTTCCACTCCGGGGTGGGAAAAATGAGGAGGCACCCGGGGCAGCATCCCCCTTGCCCTGTATCTGCTGGGGTCACAAGGGGCTTGCTCCAGCTGGAGGAACACACCTACAAAGATGAACAGCAGGTGAGGAGGAAATCTGCAGAAAGCCTCTTGCGACCTAGGCCCCAAGCGCCCTTCCTTCCTGTTCGCTGCAGAGCCGTGCATTGGAAAAAAAAAAGTGCTGCAGAAGCTCCCAGCCCAGCTGTCGGTTCTACCCGATGCACTTCTGCAGCGCTATTGGCTGAGCCAACAATAGCCAACCCAGAGCCGGGAGGAGGGACAAAAGAGGAGCCTGCTGGCTGATGGAGGGAGAAGGCAGAGGAGTTAGCAATGTTGCTCCCAGCTAGCTGTAGAAAGGCAGGGAGGGAGGGGGCTCTGGCATCCCCCACCCCTTTGTACTCCCCTTGTCTGTCTCCACCTGCTACCGCTTGTCTCTATTTAGATTGCAAGTTCTTTGGCGCGGGGACTGTCTCTGTTTTCTGTACAGCACCTTGCACAGCAGGGTGGTTAGAGCTATGGTAATACCAACCTTAAACAATCCTCCTCTTTATTCACGGTCTCAGGGGACATCTCTTCCATGTCTTTTCTTCCCCACCCACAAAGCGGGAGAGGAATGCAGGCAAACCCTTTTACAAAGGTCTCCGAACCTTTTTAAAAGCAGGGGCTTGGAAAGCTGGGAACCTCAAATCGGTAGCCTCTGCAGAATGCCCAAGATTGAGAGTAGCGTAGCTGGAGGAGAACTTTGCTTCAGCTCTGCAGAGCTTAACAGATTTTCTGAACTGAAGCTGGAACCTTTCTGAAGAATGTAAAACAGCAAGTTTTGTATCATTCCGTGGTAAAGACGTGAGCTGTCCTACCTGAACCAGCTGCTTACTGTAATAAGTTTATGATCAGTTTGAGTTAATTAGAGCACAGTGAATGGTACAGGGCAATGTTCCCTGTAATGTTTTCCATCCATGTGTGGAATAAATTTTGTTGTGTGCACCAAAGCATGTGCAAATGTGCACCACCAATATAAACACATGCTGTCAGCTGTCGGTGCTCTGCTTATCAGCTCGATGGCATTTGAATCTCTCCTGGATAGCTGCACAAGCGCTCAGCTTACAGGAAACCCTGGTACGGGTGGGAGGGGAATTCATGACTATTGGTTTCATTCTCAGAATGAACTTTGATCTAATTTTACTCATGAACTTTTCACATACCTCTTCCACAGGTGCAGGGTTGCTTGAGGTTTATTAGCATGAATACAATAAAAGTGCAGAGTCCTAGTCTCATGGAGAGCATCTTTCATAGTATAACTTCAATTGCATTGTTGTGTCATGTATTGATTTATTTGAAATGAATTAATTGCTCTAGTCATCCAATCAGGGAACAGAAACCATACCATGTGACTGAGGGAACTCTGAATTTTAGTTTGTATTTCAAAACGGTTAAATACCCGATGTTCAGAGACCTCTTGGTGGGCCACTGCAAGGGAGAGGAAACGTGTCAGAAAAGCCCAGCAATGATGGAACAGCGGCACACACAGAAAAAGAGGCAGAATCTGATAAATAACCAGTTCGTTGTTGAATTATCCTCTCGGCTCCCAAGATCACAGGCCGCACAGCCATGCAACTGGATCAGCCCCTCAGATCTGCATGCAGCCAGTCTGATGACTGAGTCACCCTTTTTCTCCCCTCTTCCAGGTGATGTGAAGCCTCCCACAGTGTCAGCTGAAGTGCCCGCAGGTAAGTTAGCCCCAGGGTCTGTAGGGACTTTTTTGCAGAAATCAGAGTGGGGAAAGATCAGTCATTGGCCCAGTGGTGGGACTAGGAAGAGAACTGGTGTCCCAAGTTCCCTCTTCTAACCAATCCACCCCCGCTCCGCCCCACTTACCCTCCGTGCACCAGAACCGCAGATGGCAAGGCCCGAAGGGAGGGTGGAGATCATCCAGCCGGGTTTCCTGGGTAACAGAACTGCCCCGTCCCCCTTCCACATGGGAGTCTGGGTTCCCAGGCCCCACTGCTCTGGCCCCACGACCACACGACCCCACTGTTCCCTTGTCCTGTGCCAAGCGCGGAACCTCACCCTCCTGACACCTCACCCTGCCCTCTCCCCCCCTCCCCCCCGAGCCGCATACAGACCCACAGAGCCCCAATTCCCAGGGACTTTTCAGCTTAGGTAAGAGACGACTAAGGGAGAATATGATAGAGGTCTATAAAATCATGGGTGGTGTGGAGAAAGTGAATAAAGAAGAGTTATTTACTCCTTCCCATAACGTAAGAACTAGGGGTCACCAAAAGAAATTAAAACAAACCAAAGGACGTATTTCTTCATGCAGCACAGTCAATCTGTGGAACTCCTTGCCAGAGGATGTGGTGAAGACCTGGACTTTAACAAGGTTAAAAAAAGAGCTAGATAAGGTCATGGAGGTTAGGTCCCTCAATGGCTATTAGCCAGGATGGGTAGGAATAGGATCCCTCGCCTCTTTTTGTCAGAGGCTGGAAATGGGTGACAGGAGAGGGATCACTGGATGTTTGTCTTTTCTGTTCACTCCCTCTGGGGCACCTGGCATGGCGACTGTCGGAAGACAGGACACAGGGCTAGGTGGACCTTGGTCTGACCCGGTGTAGCCGTTCTTATCACTCTGTGCTTTGCTACCCAATGCTCTAGGGGCCAACACAAGGAAGACAAGGAGAGATCACCTGGTGGAAACTTTAAAAGACCTCAGAGAGATGGAGCTGAAGGAGTTCAAGAGCAAACTGACTGACACTAAATTGCAGGAGGGTTACACCCAGGTACCGCGAGGTCACCTGGAGAAAGCAGAGAGTGTGGAGGTTGCTGAGCTGCTGTTCAGACACTATGGACAGGCCTATGCCACGAAGGTGGCCATACAAGTGCTGGAAGCCATCAACCAGAGACAGCTGGCAGAGAGACTCCAAAGGGCAGCGGGAGCTGGTTGGGAATGAGCCAGGAAGGAGAGAGCTGGTCTCTCCCTACAGAGGGGCCTCACCCCATCCATCTCTTCTCCTTCCGTGTTCTGCTGCTTCTGTGCCCAGGATCAACTGCTCTCGCTCTCTGTGAGCAGCAACTCTCGGCTTTGGAGTCTTTCCTTTTCACGCGTTCTCTGACCCATTTGTCTCAGCAGTGACGCCCTCACTGTTTCATCCCAGGAGCAATCAGACCAAACAGGACAGTCCTGTGTCATCACAGGAGATCCCGAAGCATCTGGCTAGTCCAGCTTGCTGTCGGAGAAAGGGGCAAAAACCACCCAGAGGCTAATGGAGCATTAGTCTGCCCTTGCGGGAAGTTTTGGCCCCGCTTTCTGTGACAAAGTGGAAATGTTTTTAATGTTTTCTCTGAACACGTGTGGGTGTGCCTCAGTTTCCCCCCATGCGTTACTCATGTGAAAGAAACCTGCATTTCTAATGTAAGAAGCAAGCAGAAAAATATTTAACTCTCTCCCCTGCAAGCATCCCGCTCATCCCTTCTTTGTTCATCACCAAGCAGCAAAGGCACAATGCTGCCCCGGTTATTTTAATTGCAGGACACTTCAGGAGAGCGACAGGCGCTGGCGATGCGTGTGCAGTCAAGCGTGTAAAAGACAGGCAGCCTTGATCTGGACCCCCTCTATCTCCGGCTGCGGCCATCACAAGTGACTCTTGGATGGGTCTGCGGTGGCTCTTTGCCGCACATGATATTGAAATGCTGGGGCTGTGTCTACGCTCGCGGCTTCTTGCGTGAGAAATATGCAAATGAGGCTAAGCGTGGAATATCGCTGAGCCTCATTTGCATACCTAATGAGCCACCATTTTGCAGAAGAGGCTCTTACACCAGAAGGAGCTGTCTACATTGCCCCTTCTTGCGCAAGAAAACCCCTCTTGCGCAACGCCGTTATTCCTGAAAATAATCAGCGTAGCGGCATTGCGCAAGAGGGGTTTTCTTGCGCAAGAAGGGGCAATGTAGACAGCTCCTTCTGGTGTAAGAGCCTCTTCTGCCAAAGTGGTGGCTCATTTAGGTAGCAAATGAGGCTCAGCAATATTCCACGCTTAGCCTCATTTGCATCTTTCTCACGCAAGAAGCCGCGAGTGTGCACATAGCCTGGAAGGCTGTGTCTACACTGGCACGATCTCGCGCAAAAGCGTCCACTCTTGTGCGAAAACTTGCTGCCTGTCTACACTGACCGCGTGTTCTTGCGCAAGTAAACTGACATTCTAATGTATGAAATCAGGGCTTCTTGCGCCAGAACTCTGACGCTCCCGCTCAGGGATAAGCCCTTTTGCGCAAGTGTTCTTGCACAAGAGGCCAGTGTAGACAGGCAACATGAATTTCTTGCACAAGAAAGCACTATGGTTAAAATGGCCGTCAGAGCTTCCTTGCGCAAGAGAGCGTCTACACTGGCAAGGATGCTCTTGCGCAAAAGCACATCCCAGTGTAGACGCTCACTTCTGGAAGAGTTTTTGCAGAAGAACTCTTCTGCAAAAGAGTTTTTCTGTGAGAATGCACCAGTGTAGATGTAGCCTAAAGGTTTATTACTAAAAGAAAGAAAAACCTGAGAGTAAGGTTGTTAAGGAGAATACATTAAATGCATCGAATCACCCAGTTCTCGATACAGGCTCTAAGCAGAGATGTTATAAACTGCTATCTTAAAAGCCTCTGGTGTACATCCTATGACAGGATGGGTCCACAGTTCTTCCCTGCTCTCTGTCCCTCGCAAGGCTGCATCGGGGATCAGGAGCTGAACTGAAGACAAGATGGAGTCTGCCTCATGTCATTTTATATCCATGCCTGGTCTTTTCCAAGCTGGAGCAGGTCACATGACCCAGTGACCTATCCAAGTGTCCCAAGTCAGCAATCATGATGCTGGCTGGTTTGCAGGTGTGCATTTGCCTCTGAGAACCTAGCTAATTAGCATAGTCACTGACTGGCCATTAACACAGAGTACATATTTATAACTCCACAAGCAGATATCACACAAGTACATGAATAACATACATAACATCAGTAGAACAGACGCTTTCATTTGACATCTCACATGGCCCACTTTGTACAGACTTTTGGGACAAACATTCCCCACCCCTATGGGTGCAGCAATGATCTTTAAAATCCAATAACGTGACACTAGGGAAGGACATGGCTGATTCTTAAGGCAGGCCTACACTAGACCCAGAAAGGCAGTTTAAGGTATGTAAATAATGAAGGTGGAGTCGGCATACTGTAAGCTGAGTTTGGCGCAATCTTCACGGAGGGAGGCTGATGGGAGCAAATGCTTCCCTTACTCCTCATGACTGCGAGGAGTATCAGTGCCGGCCAGAACCACCCTCAGCCTTTGATTTAGCAGGTCTTAACTAGACCAACTAAATCAAATGCCAGAAGATTGATCTCTGGCATGGCAAGTGGCGACGTGGCCTCACATTATCTGGAGGGGTTCCAAGCAAGTTCTAGACAAGGAGATTGGAGCACAGCTGATGCTGGCGGAAAGGCAGGGTTGGCTAGTAAAAGAGGATTTTACAGAGGAAGGGCTAATGATGGGAGATCTGGGAATGGTGACAGGACATCCCAGGGGCCAGGCAGAAGGTCTGGCTAGATTTGCCAGGAGGGCTGGTCTAGCTGATGGAGGATTAGCAGAACTCTCAGGAGAGAACCTGAAAAGGCTGAAGGAAGCTCAACTTGGTGCCCCAAACTCCAGAAGCTCACCCCACAGATAGTGAGGTGGGCTCTGGAGAGGAGCGAGTTCTCAAAGACACTGAGGCATGGCCAAAGCCAACAGCCAGGGTAGGTGCTGACTGCCGAGAGTGACACCAGATATGGACAGCACAATGTGTAGGCCTCTTTGTAAATAAATTAGGGAGTTTGAGATGGACTAACACCGTCGGGGTAAGATGAGCAGTTACTGTGGATAAAACTATTTATTTAATACTTTCATTTCCTTGTCAGATTATGTTTTGTGACAGACCCAGGGCAGCTGGTTACAACAGTTGGGTGGAGGGCAAATGTACAGGGAACTGGGTAAATTGTTTTCTGTTTCCTGAGTGAAGTGGCCATGTAATCAAGGCAGGCAGGCACCTGGGGTCGATTAAGAGCTTGCCGGAAGCAGCAGGGTAGTCAGAGCACCTGCATCCCATTAAGGCCTGAGGGGGCTAGGTTAAAAGGCTTCCCCTCAGGAAGGTGGCGGGAAGCCAAGGGCTGAGAGTAAGAGATGCACTGTCCGTGAGCTGAGGGCTACAAGAAGGGACGTGTTTTGTGCAGGGGTAGGAGAGACGCGCTCAGGTGCCAGAGCAAAGGTGAGGGGAGGGATTGTTTGGGGAAGTGGCCCAAGGAAGAAGCTGCCAGACTGGGAGTAGAAGAATTCCTGTCAGTTGCCGCTGCCTTAGGACCCTGGGGCCAGAACCCAGAGTAGTGGGTAGGCCTGAGTTCCCCTCAGCCCTCCCCATGCCACCACAGCATCTGCCCCTGAGTGAGGAGACCAGCTACAAAGGGGTTTTCAGCCCAAACTATAGACTAGCTTGTGATGAGGCTGGCTCAGTAGGCTCTGACCCTTGCCCCCAGGCCACCCACTACTCTGGGGGTCCCACCGAGCCTGTGAGGCAAACAATATCAGCCAAGAACCGCAGGACCCTCAGGGCATGGCCAGAGCTCTGCCACAACTTGTTTTGGGTGCAATACATAAGATACTTGGTTTGCACAGCTCTGAGATGAAACTTGGTCTGTGCTACTGTAGTATGCAGCTGTTTCTGGAAGTAACACTGCAACAGTTAACACAAGTAAGAGTGTAGCTCTGGACATTCCCATTCCTGAGAGAACAGGCTAAATCTTTTTATAATCTCCTGGGCTATGTCTACACTCGCGGCTTCTTTTGCGAGAAATACGCAAATGAAGCTAAGCGTGAACTATTGCTGAGCCTCATTTGCATACCTAATGAGTCACCATTTTTGCAGAAGAGGCTCTTGCGCCAGAAGAAGCTGTCTACACTGCCCCTTCTTGCGCAAGAAAAACCTTGTGCAATGCCGCTATGCCGATTATTTTCAGATAACAGTATTGCGCAAGAGGGTTTTCTTGAGCAAGAAGGGGCAGTGTAGACAGCTTCTTCTGGCGCAAGAGCCTCTTCTGCAAAAATGGTGACTCATTAGGTATGCAAATGAGGCTCGGTGATATTCCACGCTTAGCCTCATTTTCATATTTCTCTTGCAAGAAGCCACGAGTGTAGACATAGTCCTAGAGGGCTGTGCCCTGGGCTTGCTACACTACAATGATGTCATTCTGTTACACGACAGGAAAAACTTGAGAGAGAGAGAGACAAGGTGTGACTCCTGGATGGTAGCAACAACGATACCATGTAGAGGTAGGTACGTGCCAACTGTGCAGCAAAGGATGAGCAAGTATGCTCATGTTGTTATATTGGTGGCAGCGGTGGGCTAGCTCCATCGGGGAGGAGATTTCCTGTCTAGAAACAAAGATGTTACCACAGAAGCTTGGTGGGGCAGTGCTGTTAGGGCAGGGAGCGTGTGACAGGAAGGAGAAAGAGTGCTGTCAGGGCAGGGAGTGTGTGACAGGAAGGAGAAAGAGGAAGCAAAGCACTCTGTCAGGAAGTTTTCATTCACACCTTGCCTGTGGTTATGGGACCCAGAGGTGCTCAGGGTGGGGATTAGAACCTGAGGGAGCTGCCAGGCCTGCAGATTTCAGGGCCCATGCATGGATGGGGGCGGAGCAAGGCATTGGTGATGCATGATGCTGGCATTTGGGGAGCTAAACTCCACAGCCTGTGGTCCTGCCTCTACTTGACTGCAGCTCTGCTTCAGCCACTGCCCCAACTCTGCCCAGGACCTGACGGCTCTCCACTGTCTCCTTCCTCTCTTCTCTTCTTGCTTGCTCCCTTCCAGCCAAAGCCCTGAACCCAAATATAGCAAATGTTGTTTGGGGGGGGGGGGGG